CGAGCCTTGATTCTTTGTCAGGCAACCTGTTAGAGACCCTTCAACTTCTATTTGTTTCAGAAAACAGCCAATTGCACTTAACAAACTAAAACTTGCTTTACATTCAGCACAGAGCCCCAGCGCTGGCAAGAAACTTGAGTGCCCTCGAGCAAACAAATGTTTCATCATCTGCTTTTCAGCAACTTTAAATCTCTGTGAATGTCAGGAATATTCTCATCTCATCCTCAGCGCTCGCTCCTGTCTGCAGGCCGGGCCACTGTGCTTAAGCCAAATCTCAGGATGCCAATGCTTCTGTGATCTAGTCCTCCACTAAAAAGCCAAGGCACAGAAGAAAAACATCGGGGCCAATCGATGGCCTGACAAGGCAAATATCAGACTTGGCCATGGGGCAGCGATTCAAAGTGTCTAACAGACAGAATTCATTCTGCCATGACAAGCTAGGCATGCTAAATGCTAATGRGCTTGTTTGAAAAGGTCTCACCATTTGGGATTTGTTCAGCCATCAACAGAATACTTTATTCACAGAAAAAACTACTTTAAACGTATTTCTATTCATCTGCTTCTGTTAGAGATTAAATTTAATTTAAAGGGATCAACAATTAGTTGTAACATCAAACGTTATTTGATAAACATTTATTTTAACTGTAAAATAAAGACTGTAAAAATACTGTAGGATGTTCAGTTTTGTAAATTTTTAAAGATATATTTTAACAGAGATGGAGCCATTTTATTTACACACAAAACGTTCTGGGTAAATGATGACGTGGATAGGTCCTCCGTGTGAAGCTGCTAGCGAGCTATATCCACCCTGAAGGTTAATCTTGGACAATATCTGAYGATCGACTCTTTTAAATGAAACCAGAGAGCGTTGACAGAGAGGAGAAGGTAGAAATGACTCAGCCTGTAACTGAAAATATGGATGGAGGACAACAGAGCTGCTTCATGGAAGAAGAACCTCAGCTTAGCCTGTTAGCCTTCGCACTAGCCCTCATGCTATATTGCCTTATATGTATTAGCTCGGCGCTAGCGCGACAAACAAGCTAAACTGAGGTCCTCCATCCATATTTTCAGTTGCAGCTGAGTCATTTTTGCGTTCCCCTTTCTGTCATGTGGATGGAGGACCTCAGTGATGAGAGGAGAATGTGTAGCGCAGAGCTAATACATATACAGTATATGGTGATAGTGTCGGGGCTAATGCTAAAGCTAACAGGCTAAGCTGAGGTTCTTCCATGAAGCAGCTCTGTTGTCCTCCATCCATATTTTCAGTTCCAGGCTGAGTCATTTCTACCTTCTCCTCTCTGTCAACGCTCTCTGGTTTCATTTAAAAGAGCCGATCGTCAGATATTGTCCAAGATTAACCTGCAGGGTGGATATAGCTCACTAGCAGCCTCCCACCAATGACCTAGTTGATGTCATCATTTACCCAGAATGCTTTGCATGTAAATAAAATGGCCCCGTCTGTGTAATATATTTTCAAACTTTTAGTTTAAAAATTATAAAAATTGAGCATCCTGCAGTGTTTTTACAGTCTTTATTTTACAGTTAAAGTATACAGTATGTATATCATATAAAGTCTAATGTTACAACTAATCGGGGATCCCTTTAAATATTCCAACTGGATGCTCTATGTGATTGTCAAAAATTGTTATGTTTCATTGATTTTAGTATTTTTGACACCGTTTTTGGCCTTTTTGTTAGTACTGCTGTTGTTGAGTCAAGGATTTAACCATAACTACAATAAATGGGAACACTGTTGCATTAAAGTCTTAATTAAAAACTAGAAACTTCAGTTGGTTAAAAAYGTTTCTGCTAGGGTTCTAATGAGAGATCATATTTCCCCAGCTGTAGCTTCTCTCCATTGTTTTCATGTCAAATTCAGAATAGAATTTAAAATTTTCTAACATATAAAGCTCTCAACAACCAAGCTCCATCTTATATTAAAGATCTTATCGTTCCATATTTTCCTAACAGAGCATTTTGCTCTCAGGCTGCAGGTTTACTTGTGGTTTCTAGAGTTTCTAATAGTAGAATGAGAAGCAGAGCTTTCAGTTATTAAGCTCCTCTCTAGTGAAACCAACTTCCAGTTTCTGTACGTGACGCTGACACTATTAAGGCTAGACTTAAGACTTTCCTTTTTGATAGATTTCCAAACAAACAGTCTTCACCAAAACAGAACTGTCTGGGAAAGTTTGGGAAGCCTAAAGGAATTAACTGTTTAATTACAGCATCCAACTACAACTATTCCAATTTAATTTAAGAACTATTTATGTTTCTTTAGGAAAAAAATTAAACAAAATGTCAAAAAGCTTCGTGATATTTGGACCTCTACAACTACCACTAGCCAYAGGCAGGCTTTGTAAGTTGACCTTTTGGATAGGCTAAGTGCCACTGGAGCAAAGCCAGGCTTAAACGGGATCCAAACAGATGGCAGAACCAGCCACAGACGGGTCACACAAACACATTCGTTCATTCAGCTGGCGCAGAGCGACTGAGACAACCTATGGTGCTGCCACCTGTTTTCACACACCTCGGGACTTCTCCACATTTCTAAAATCCTCCGCTCACTGCARTGACTCCGTTTTCTTGCACCCCTCAAGCAGTACTAAGATGGATCATTCATTTTCCTTTTTTTGCTGTGTTTTCATATTCATCCCACACCTCTGTCTATCTCCCATCTATACAACTCTTCCTTATACACTATGTAACACAAGCCTCCAAATCCCTAAAGGATGCTGCAAAGAAGGTTTAAGAAAGTGTAATGAAAAGATTTGACGCACTAAACTTCTTTCAAAATACATTCTAGCTTTTTGCTGCTTAGGAGAAAAAGCATGACTCAATGTGATGATCTTGAGGTTACATATTGATCATTTAGTTGTGATAGATTGAAGTCAGCCCACCTCTGATTCATTCTCAAGCACATTTTGCACAATTTTCCTGTTTTCTAATCATAAAAGTAACCATATAAAATTTAGCTTATTATGTTTGTTTATTTAAGTTGTTCATTTTTTTAACATATGATAAACATTTAAAGTCACAAATAATTACCATATAATAGACGTTTTTATGACATCAAAACAAAAACACCGAACAGCTTAGTGTTCACTTTGTGAGAGCACAGAGGCCCATGGGGAATATATGGGATGGACTCAATGGTGAGATCCAACATCAGACAAACAAAAAAATGAAACCAACAACAAGCCCAAACACACACGTTAGGTTCTGTTCAGCCACAAAACAAAAACTTTGTATTTACCATTTACACAAGTCCGGTTCACACGGCAAGATAAATGTGCCCCTTTTAGGCCCAATTTTGCCCTTTCGACAAGCTTAAGAATGTCTCAACTATTGTGATGGCTCTACAGGTAATCTGATGAGATCTTCCTGTCGTGTGTGGAGAACCTCGGCACTGCTCTGATCTCAAATCAGGCATATTCATCATGTTGGATTGTGTTGACCTGATATCCCAGCATGTGTGGTGTTCCCTGAAGAAAAATGAGCTTGCAGACTGTTCAGTGTTGTGCAGCCAATCAGAAAGCGATTTGATGAAAACACAGAGAATCCAAAATAGGGAAAACAAAACTACCATCCAGAGGACAACGGAGATGTTTTTTTGTTTTGCTTTTTCTCTGTTAAAAATAGTCCACAAACTATCACCACTGATAACTCCCCGTCTGTCACGTTTATTTACTCTGAACTGAGTGAGTGAAATCTGTTTGTGCGTGGTATTACTTTTGCCATGTGGCTGTTATAAACCTGTTATATCTATGTTTTTAATAATCGTGTGTGTGTGTGTGTGTGTGTGTGTGTGGGGTGGGTCCTCAGGTTAGGAAAATCAACCAACAATTTTAAAATCTTGCCGTGTAAACCAGGCATTAAAAGTTGCTGCAGTTTGTCATGTGTTAATGAGTTTTGTAAAAACAAATGTGTTTTCTGTTTTGCTGTAGCCTGGTTTAAACCAGACCCTGTCCTTCACTTTGTTTCGTACAAGGGTCTGGACTTGATGCATAGAGGACTGATTTCTTGCWGGAGGCGTGGCCTCTGCTGAAGTTTAAAATGATTGGATCAGTTGGCTGCTACGTATGTCGCTGTGACGGAGGCTAAGCTAARAAGCTAACCRGAAATCGCGTGTGCTGTAAACAACCCTACTGAGAGGAGAAATACACCGAGCCAAACGAGACGACTGTAAATGAGAGCTGCTGCTTTGTCAGACAAATTTATTTTAATTTGAAGCCTTAACACAGACTGACTTCATTCACTTCCTCCACTGCCGTATGCTAAAACAACTAGCAGACAATGCGCAGAAAGTCGACGTCGTTCAAAACTCCTCCTGTTTGCTGATTGGCCCAGGTAAAATAAACTACAAGCAGACACTGTGCAGAAAATTGGCGTTCTCTTCTCTGATTGGCCCGGCTAAAAATCTGCCAGCGAAATTCATCTCAATGGGAGAAGTCCAAGATGGAGAAGTGAAGGGAAAGTAGAATTGAGCGGAGCTGTGTAGGAAGGCAAGGGCCAGGCTAGTTTTGCTGTGTAATAAAATTGCAATTTCATTTTCTAAATTATAGAAAGATTTGTGAAATGTGTTTGCATTTAGTGTTTAATGAAATTTTGGTTTTATTTTATACTTTTGATTGTCTTTATTAAATCGTTGTGGTTACAGAAATTATGTTTTTTATAGAATGTATTAAAACAGGTTTTAAATGATTCGAAAATGAAACATGTTTCCAAAATGTAGTTTAAATGTAGAAATGTTCTGTTTTGATCCTGAAGGTTGGCATAGAAGACACCTGGAAAATGGAGCTTTGTGGTGGTTCTTAATGGCCATGTTGTATATTTATTAGTTTTTCATAATTCATCTTTTAAACCTCATAATTCAGCATTTGTCATTTGAATTAATAAATAACTTTGGCAATTTAAGTTGTGTGGCATTTCATTTCAAATTACAATAAAAACTTATTCAGGTTTTCTCATAGTGGTAAAGGAGCCAAGAAAGAGCCACATACCTTTATGTATTGCTCAAGCTGTGGATAAACTCTTCTCACCCTGAGGATAGTGGAGAAAAAGGCCCGATGGGGGACTGAGGTAGTGACCACGTGTGTGACTTCAGGGAAGGAAAAGACATTAAAACCAGATGCCTTGCAGCGCTTTAAAAGTTCCTCATCCACTTGGTTTTCCCCTTCGCTCAGAATACAGCCGACRGCGTGGCGACAAAGTGGTCCAGGTGTCTGCAAAGAACAAGCACATAAATAATAAAGTTTCATGATACGATATAGAAAATTTAAACAGTATATACTTGTAGATTTAAAAAAAGCTGCACTTCAGTGTCACTAAAAATCAAATTATAAAATGTTAAGTGTACTCTACTTGGAGAAAAAAAAACATTTTGATGTTGCCTTTTTTCCTCTTCACTGAGTAATAAAGCCTTTTTCTGGGCAAAAGTGGGTATGCAGCGTGACAAACTCGAGTGTAACACCATTATAAACAGTGGCTCGCAAGAAGCTGCCTCACAGGCAGGCTCTATTGATTTAGAAGTATGCAATCATAGTTTAAGTGTGTTTTTAGTTCTGTTGGGTGAATTTACTCCATCTATCATTTGCCAATCAAACCAAAATCAGTGCTTTAACTTTTCACAGCTTCTCCATTTCCCCTCTCAGTTCTTGTTTTTTTTTTTTTCTGAAGCCTTTTGTGTTTGTCCTTCTTGAACATAATTTGTATCTGTCGAATCCAGATTGACAAAACTGTTTACAGCCTCCTCCAGTGTCACAGCAGCATGTGGGACACACAAACTGTGCAGGAACTGATTGCACAAAAGTTGCCATTTGTGCATCATTTTCAACTGTACAGTTCAATTGTCAGAAAAAATTAAAAACATTTATGAAATGTCACCCTGTCATTATTTAAGTAGTGTGTTTTTTCAGAGAGTCATATACACAAGGGTTGTGTAAAGTAAAGAAAAATAATTGCAAAACACAATAAGAAATACAACTTTGGCATGTCAGCCAGGTAGTAAAGGCATAAATGTATTCAGTTAAGATGCATTAGAAAAATTGGGCAAAACAGCAATTATTTATCTTTCCTCTATTTCCAGCACCTCGATGCCCTTTAAAAAAAGGGGGGGAGGGGAGAATAAAGGGGGAAACTCTCTAAATGAATACTCTGGGGATGACGAAGATGCTCTCCCACTGTGCTAAGATGAGCACAAATGAAGGGTTGTGAAATAAATTATCTAGAATCATCTAATTTGTTCATCCCTTTCAAATGTGGCCAGTGTGTCCAAGTAGGCACCTATACAGTATTGTTCACAAGTTACTCTTTTTTTTTTTCCATACGACCAGCTGGACTTTCTTGTTCTTTATTTATTGGTATATCCTCAGGCTTTCTAAAAGTTAAACTTCTGATTTTAGCTGCTTTTTCACTCGGTTTTCAGCTCATTTTCAGAGGAGTTGTATTTTTAGATTTTTTATTTTTTGTAGTTCTAATTCTGGAACCTTCGGGCAGTAACAGACCACTAAATTCAAGGGATGGATCAGTGCTGTGTGGACACATAAACAACAAAGCCTCACCAACCAACCTAGTAGTTTAAAACCAGCAGATAACATGGTTTGATACATAAGGTGATTCACAGAGAGTAATTAGCTAAGGTGAGACCAAGGAGGTTCTATAGAACAGCTGGAGTACGCAAAGACCACGTGACCGTGTGATCAGCTGGAGAAGCTAATGGCTAACGCTAAATGGGCAAGAGTCTGGATTTCCCATTACTGCACATGTTGACAACAGAGCAGAAAAAAGGACTGACGATGTATAAATCATTAAAACTGTTAATAATATTACTAATGCCGTTTGTGTTTTGATTTACTTTTACGTTATGATTTACCTAATTTCCCTCTGGGATCAATAAAGTATTTTTGAATTGAATTTTTTGAATTTTTTAACAGAAGATAAACAGGAAAACGTCTCATTTTACAACACAAGTCAGCAGATCTGATCTTATTTAGCTCAATGTGATCTAAGCGGAACATAATGTAACAGTTTAAAATTAAAATAATCTTATAAAGTCGATGTAATCACTGTTATTTGTTGAACTGGTTAGCAGATATTAGCTTGTGGAGCATATTTAGCACTATTGAATCATGCTACAATTTAACACAAACTATTAAATATTACAGGTGATTTGTCCTCTGACGAATATTTAGACCTACAGAGTGTAAAATAATATTATAAATGTGAGTATTTTTAGGTTTCTGTTAGAGGAACCTGACATGTTAAGGAGATGATTAGCTAACAGAGACAAGTTTCATCCTATAACCAGAGAATATTTTCTAACTGTTGACTGGTAAATATAAATATTCTTATTTTTTATGACAGTAAGAAGAAATAATAAATACACTTTATTATTAGCTGAATTCATCATTTTTCAACTAGCTAAAGTCTAAGTTACAGGCTGACTTCAGGTCTGGTTTAGATCATTGTTACTTATAAATAATATATTTTTCTGGCATAAATCTGCTGTTTTACATGATTGTTGAATGAAATTAACATAATTATTAATTATTGTAAAAACATGACCAATAATCTGTGAAAAAGATCCAGTTTAGCTTGCCTTTTATCTATTAGTTTCTATGGAGGTTGTGAGCTGTTGTCCTTTTTGACGCCATTTTTGCTCCTCCATGCTGTCACAGACACAGTGTACGGTATGGGCGGGGCTCAGTCTAGTGATCTTTATATTTAAGTTTATGGGTGAGACAGACAATGCATCTCTCAGATCCTGTGTCAGGACTATCAGATTCAGTTGCCAGCAAAAAGAAAAAAAAACTTTTTTAGAATTAACATTTGTTCGCTTTGTTTTTTATACAAACTGCACAATGCTCTGTCACAACCATGTACAAGATAAAGCAAATTAATAAAGCAGCCAAAGTCCAAAAAACAAAAACAAACTTGGAAAGACCTTCAGAAAGCCTTTAGAAGAGCTGACCAAAACACTTCGAAAATAAAAAATGAGGTCTGACTCCTTAGAAGCAAAATGTAAAATATGGGGTTATTTAAAAGTTCTACACTCTACGTATATTTGCTAACATGAAAGGCAACATATGGTTAGAAGTGTGAGGCTCACGATACACAGCACAACAGGCTAACACAAAATCCCACTCACACACAGTATCGCAAGTCTTTGTTTTGCTCCTCAAGCTGCCCTCATTATGACACAAGCGTGATGCCTTTTGATGTTCCTTCACCACACTGACAGCTCGTATAAAACAAATAGTTGTGATATTCATCTCAAGGAATCAAACCGTCTTGTGTCTCTGCTGAACAACAGAACAGGCGTCGGTGAGGCAATAAAAAAAGGGAAGGGGAAAAAATCAAAGCATCTTCTCCAGCATACAAAGCATTTCCTATGAACACGGATTCAGTAAAGCTTAGGTTGTAAATGTTTTAAAGTAACTTTCTGGAAGAACCTGATTCACCCCCGAAGACTAAATGTACATTTCCTGTTCAGCTCCTCACCCAGGTGCTGTTCTCACTGCTTTCACCACATTGTGACACAAACACTGGTCCYTGAAGGTGGGCAAACAGATTTGTCAATCTGCTGCTGTTCCACTTGTCATCTATTACATTCAGACAATCCAAGTCCCAAGGTCTCCAAGCGCTGACCCTAATCACTTACTCTGAGCATCAAGTTTGACAGAATACTATACGATCTCTCCTCATCGCTTCCCTCTGATGTTTGCTGGATTCGAAGTTTGAGGCTTGAAAACAGAGGTGAAACGTGCACACTGGGTCACAGAACCCCCACCCTCTGGCTTTGAAGCTGTGAAGAGGCTGATGGAGGAGAAGGCTTTAGCGAGCTGAGCCTCCAGTGTGTGCTAGCCGTTTGAAGGAGCAGACAGCGCTGTATCCATGGCAACCGTCTCAGGACCAAATCAAGTTCTCATTGAGGTCTTTTGTTTCTCCAGAGGAAGTGATTAAAGGAGGTAAAAGTGAGGAAAACGGAGAAGAGGGGATGAGACTATAAGCATCCTCTATCTGCTGGACTTCTTTTTCTCCACTGCAAATATTGGTGGACAGTGTCTCCCTATTTAAACACCAAATGCCTGTCCTCCTACGTGTGAGAGCACTCCGGGGTTCCCGACGCAGTCAGTGAATGGCATCCTGAGGCTAATGAACTGAGATCATTACGACAATTATTCCAACTTAGATCAGGACTTGGCTGTGACTGTGCAATGGAAGCAGGACCCAATGCTAGCCTAATTGCCAG